CTGTGCATCCGTATGCACCATGCATGGTGCATACAGATGCCAAAACGACGGCGTTTTATTAGAAAACGCGCGTCTTCCCTTTTAAAAAAATTCAGGTTCGATTCCCAACAATAACATTATATTGTTCATTCATTCTGGAATTTTAGAATAGATTATGGAATTATAGTTCATTGATTATAGAATTATAGTTCATCGATTATGAAATTGTAGTTCATCGATTATGAAATTTTAGTTTATAGATTATGGAATTTTAGTTCATTCATTCTGGAATTTTTAGTTCATAGATTAGATTATGGAATTATAGTTCATCGATTATGGAATTATAGTTCATCGATTATGGAATTTTAGTTCATATGTTGTTGCTGGGAATCGAACGTGATTTTTTTTTAAGGGGAGACGCGCGTTTTATTAAAACGACGTCATTTTTGCATCCGTATGCACCATGCATGGTGCATACGGATGCACAGCATAATTTGCCCCACATGTGATGTGAGCTTAATTGTGCATGTTTCCCTTATTAGTTTGAATCTATTTGTGGGCTTAAGTTCATGAAAATGTTATTTTAAATGCATATTCACTTGTTTTCTCATTTAGATATGATTTTACACTTGATTTGAATGTTTTACGATTTTTGTTAGTGTTTTGAAACCATTGTATGTCAATTGCAAAGGTAAGGGGAAGTCTCTTAGAAAGCAAAGAAAGATGGCCCAGAGACAGAACCAAATAAACTTGAATCTTAATGGAGATGGGGATAACAATGGAGTCAATCAACCACCACCCCTAGCTAGAGTCATGTCACACTACATTGCACCTGATGTTGAGGAACATGATAGCATCAATGTTTCAGGTGTGGAGGCCAACAATTTTGAAATTAAGCCGGTCATCGTACACATGATCACTTCTGATCAATTTGGAGGGTCACCAACGGAGGATCCAAATGCTCATATCACAAAGTTCCTACGGATATGTGGCACCTTCAAAATCAATGGAGTACCTAAAGAAGCCATTAAACTCCGACTATTTCCCTTCGGATAAGGCTCATGGTTGGCCCATCTCACTTCCAGCCAACCATTTTGTTACTTGGGATCAGTTTCATAGGGAATTCTTGAAAAAGTTATACCCAATTTCCAAGACCTAAAAGATGAGGAGGGCAATCCAAAATTTCAAGCAATTGACAAGTGAATCTCTAACCGAGTATTGGAAGAGATTCAAGGAGCTAAGAAGGCAATATCCACGCCATGGGATCGGGAGTTGGGATTTTATGAAAGCTTGCTTGACAATTCAAGAGTCTTAGTTGATGCTTCTTCGGGTGGTTCATTCACACTTTTGGAACCAACTCAAGCCGAAGAACTGTTGGAGAAGATTGCTATGAATGGATCAACATGGTACTCAGAAAGATCTTCTCAAAGTACTATTTTAATTACGCTCTAGGTTCATTTGACAATATATATTATTGTATGACTCTGAATTTTAGTTTTATTTTCCATAAACACTAGTTTCATTATAACAACACTAAACTATCATTTTAATTATACTACAGTTTCATTTGACAATATACGTTGTTGAATGAGCTCTATTTTTAGTTTCATTTTCCACACACACTAGTTTCATTATAGCAACACTGAAATATCATTTAAATTCTACTACAATTTCATTTGACGAGCATATCATGGTCCACCTAGCACTGTGAACCATGGTCCACAATATAACAATTGATACTCAATCGTTATACCATGGACTATGGTTCACACTGCACTATGGACGCAGGTTTATGTGTTTGTGTTTTATGTTATGACTTTTTGTGTCTTGCGTTGTGAAATTATGTACCTTATGATGGGTATGAATTTTGTATTTGGAACAAATTAGTAATTGTGTCTTATGTTATGAATTATTGAATCTTGTGTTGTGAAATTTATTCTATGAACACGAATTATATACCCAAATTAGATTTGAAAAATATATAACATTTGTATGTGTTTTGTGTTATGATTTTTGTGTCTTGTGTTATGAAATTATGTACCTTAGGAGTATGAATTCTGTACCTCGTCTTTTCAATCCGCCCAGCTGGGTCCATAATGTTATGCTTGTATCTTGTGTTGTGATTTTGTGTGTTTTGTGTTATGAAATTTTGTACCTTACAAGTATGAATTTTGTACATCGTTGTTTCCATTCATGATTCATAATACTATGTGGACCCGATCCATGATATAAATTACCAATGTATGTTTATGGGCAAATTATGTTGTGCATCAGTATGCACCATGCATGGTGCATACGGATGCAAAAATGACGTCGTTTTATTAAAAACACGCGTCTCCCCTTAAAAAAAAAAAATCAGGTTCGATTCCCAGCAACAACATATGAACTAAAATTTCAGAATCGATGAACTATAATTCCATAGTCGATGAACTATAATTCCATAATCGATGAACTAAAATTCCAGAATCTAATCTATGAACTAAAAATTCCAGAATCTATGAACTAAAATTTCATAATCGATGAACTATAATTCCAGAATCGATGAACTATAATTCCAGAATCAATGAACTAAAATTCCATAATCTATGAACTAAAATTCCAGAATGAATGAACAACATAATGCTGTTGCTGAGAATCGAACCTGAATTTTTTTTTAAGGGGAGACGCGCATTTTTAATAAAACGACGTCGTTTTTGCATCTGTATGCACCATGCATGGTGCATACGGATGTACAGCATAACTACTCACGTTTATGTTACTATTGTTTGGTATTAGAAGTTGACAGGCCTTTCTTGAATCCTTATTAGTTATTACATGTCTAGACTCTTATAAGCATGGCCCATTGTTTCCATTCATGATTCATAATACTATGTGGACCTGATCCATGATATAAATTACCAATGTATGTTTATGGGCAAATTATGTTGTGCATCAGTATGCACCATGCATGGTGCATACGGATGCAAAAACGACGTCGTTTTATTAAAAACGCGCGTTTCCCCTTAAAAAAAAAATCAGGTTCGATTCCCAGCAACAACATATGAACTAAAATTCCAGAATCGATGAACTATAATTCCATAGTCGATGAACTATAATTCCATAATCGATGAACTAAAATTCCAGAATCTAATCTATGAACTAAAAATTCCAGAATCTATGAACTAAAATTTCATAATCGATGAACTACAATTCCAGAATCGATGAACTATAATTCCAGAATCAATGAACTAAAATTCCATAATCTATGAACTAAAATTCCAGAATGAATGAACAACATAATGCTGTTGCTGGGAATCGAACCTGAATTTTTTTTTAAGGGGAGACGCGCATTTTTAATAAAACGACGGCGTTTTTGCATCTGTATGCACCATGCATGGTGCATACGGATGTACAGCATAACTACTCACGTTTATGTTACTATTGTTTGGTATTAGAAGTTGACAGGCCTTTCTTGAATCCTTATTAGTTATTACATGTCTAGACTCTTATAAGCATGGCCCATTATCGGCTTATCGCACCCCAAAAAAAGTCAATCGTTATGCCATGGGACCGCGTTCACCATGGATAGTGAACACGATCCCAACGGTGACGATACTGTTATTTTTTATTTTTTTTTTCTTTCTTAATTAACTGCGCGACTTTCTTCTTCATTTTTACATTTCGCGGTTTCACTTCATTTTCGCGCAAGTTTCTTCAACACACATAAATTATGAATGTGCAGATATAGATTTATGAATGTGCAGTTATGAAATTATGAATATTCTTTTATGAGATTATGAATTTTCTGTTATAGAATTATAAATTTTCTGTTATGAAATTATGAATTTTCTATTATGAGATTATGAATTTACAGAAAATTCATAATTACATAACTGTATATTCATAATCTCATAACAGAAAATTTATAATTTAATAAATGTAAATTCATAATTTCATAACAGAAATTCTTAATCTCTGTTATGAGATTATGAATTTACAGAAAATTCATAATTACATATTGTAAATTCATAATCTCATAACAGAAAATTCATAATCTGAACATAAAATGTAAAACGCCGTTAACATTACATTAACTAATTTTTTTTCCCGTAAAAATAACGCCGTTTGAGCCCGTGTTCACCACCATTTATGGTGAACACGTTTCCAGGGCATAATTTGCAGAAAAAAAGTACAAGCTTATTAAAAATGATGACAAATTAATGCTTATCAAATGGGAATGAGGGAAAATTATGATGTGCAATCGCATGGTGCACACGGTTACAAAAACGACGTCGTTTTACTTTTTAAAAAAAAAATTATTTTTGATTGCCGTTAGTTACGTAAATATATATTCATAATTTTATAATTTCACATTCTGAATGTATAGTTATGAAGTTATGGAGGTGTAGTTATGAAATTCTGAATGTATAGTTATGAAGTTATGGATGTGTAATTATGCATGCAGTTCTGAATGTATAGTTATGAAGTAATAATTTCACATTCTGAATGTATAGTTATAAAGTTATGGATGTGTAGTTATGCAATTCTGAATGTATAGTTATGAAGTTATGGATGTGTAGTTATGCATGCAATTCTGAATGTATAGTTATGAAGTTATGGATGTGTAGTTATGCATGCAATTCTGAATGTATAGTTATGAAGTTATGGATGTGTAGTTATGCATGTAATTCTGAATGTATAGTTATGAAGTTATGGATGTGTAGTTATGCATGCAATTCTGAATGTATAGTTATGAAGTTATGGATGTGTAGTTTTGCAATTCTGAATGTATAGTTATGAAGTTATGGATGTATAGTTCAAATTATGCACAACATAACGCCGTTAACGGCAATTGAAACTGATTTTTTTTTTTTTTAAAGTTGGACGTCAAAACGACGTCGTTTTTGCAATCGTGTGCACCATGCATGGTGTACACGGTTGCAGAGCATAACGCTTCACTAGTTGAGAGTCTACACTGAATTTTACCTTGTGACCAAATAAACTTAAGTTGCCATAGTGGGCAAGCTCAGTGGAACTAAATGAACATTGTGGACTCATTCATACAATCTTGTAGTTATTAGTAAATCATTTTTCACAGTACTTTGTTACAAAGATTATTGCATGGAGACAAGTAGTAAAAGATGCAGGACTGAAATTAAAACTAAATAGCCACACCCAAACGATAACAAATATAAAAATATAAACAGTTCAGAGTTCAGACTCTGTTCCCATTTTCCTTGCTCTCCTCTTCGTCGATGGTGTCACAGAGATCTCCGCCCAATGTCTCCGGCAAAGAAACCAGAAACAAGCAGCACAAAACACTGGCCAATCCGAAAACCCCGTAAGAGTAAAACCTGTTCCCTCTCCCCAGCGCCACCAGCAAGGGGCTAATCGCGCCGCCCACCACCATGGCTTGCCTCGCCATCGCCACCGCGGAGTTCCTCACGCACGTCGGAAACAGCTCCAGCGTGTATATCAGCAGAATATTGAACGCCGTGCAGGCGGTGAAGAACGCCACGATTTCCAGCCCGATCTGCACCGCCTTTAACTCCTCCCCCACAAACACAACGCACCCGAGGTTGCACACCCCGCTCAGGACACCTAACCCCACCACCGTGCTCCGCCGCCGCAGCTTGTCTATCAGCAGTAACGTCACCAGCGACGCCGGTAGCTCCGACACGGCGTTTAGCGTCGTGCTCAGGTAGAGGTTAAACGGCATTTCGCCGACGCCTAACGGTATGCCGTAATACACTAATCCTATCCCGAGAGCCACCCACATGACCGTTAATAGCCGCCGCAAAGCCCAGCCTTTGTTTATTAGTAGCTTTAGGGCGGAGTATAAATCCATTTGCTCATCCAAATCTATAAGGCCTTGATCTTGGTTGTCGGAAAAGATGGTGGTTCTGGTTATGCTGCTGCGGGTCTCCGGCGGGGCCATGGTTTTGATGGTTTCGACGAAATCTTGGGTTAGTCCTCTCAGATAAAGCCACCTCGGAGATTCTCGAGCCACGAGGTAGACTATAACAGAGTATATGATCCCGGGGATGCCGGTAAAGAGATAGAGATATCTCCAGGAAGACCCGGCATTGAAGTACGCCATGGCCGGTAAAGAGAGGAAGCCGAGAGTAAAACATACGAAGCCGATGATCCCAACCTGTCCCCGCCACCGCCGCCCCACAATCTCCGTCGACAAAACTAGCGCGCAGGTCCCGATGGTGGCCCGGGCGAACCCCGTCAGGAACCTCAACGACGAGTAGACCCACACGTTCGTGGCGGCCGCGGTGACGACGGCGGCCACGTTCATGAGGAAGCACGAGAAGGCCAGCATTTTCTTCCGGCCAATGGAGGCGTCGGCGAGCGTGGACAGCGCCAGCCCGCCGACCAAACACCCGACAAAGTACGAGGTTGCCGGCAGGCCGGTGATAACCGCCCCGGCACACTGTAGACCCCACTCGGAAACCACGGAGGTCTGCGGCGGCGCGTCCCACGCCCACGCCTCCTCCGGAAGCTCACAGATTACATTATTATCGGCCGCCGGTGAACAGAGCGGCGACGACGAGGTGCTATTGCAGTGCCAAGTGGGCACAAGGTCGGTAAAGACGGTGACGAAGGTCTGCTGGGCGTCGAATACCCATGCGAAATTAGCAAGGGTGGCTTGCAGGAACTGTGCCCAACTAAACCTTCCAAGCCAAACTTCTATGGTGTCGTCCAAGGAACGTTTTGTTCTGTTTTTCCTTTCGTCGTTGGTTGTTGGGAGAATCAACAGGGGATTCTTTTCTGGATGTTGATCCATCAACATGGTAATGGATCTAACATATGAAAATCCTATGTCTGCAACACAAGACAAGGCCTTACGTTTATATATATCAAATAGGTGATATTGTCTTTGTAAAATTGGGTCACTACTGAACTTAAAAAGTATGCAATCAAACATAATTGTGTGTTCAGGACAAGTTGTGACCTTTTTTTATGTAGGAGGTCATAAGATTGAGCCTTGGAAGCATTTTTCATGTTCTTTGTGCTTCATACATTTTAATGATTTTAAATGCAATTTTTTCAATCTTTCATCCTAACTAGTATGACAGAGGAAAAGACGATTCTTAGTACATACCATGTAAGTTACATGATCAGATTCTATCAGGTAAAATTAGAAAAATATTTTAATCGTATAAATCTTATTTGATTCAATTGCATAAAAATAATAAGTTTAGTGACCTATTTGTAACTTTTTTCAATATTGAATAGTGTATTGTTTTCATTATGTATATCTGTATTATGTACTAATTTGTTTATATCAAAACTATTTATATTTAACCAAATATAAGGCCTTTGAATTAAATTATATTAAATGATATAAAGTTTTCTATTTGTCCATAGAAACAAAGGGAGGGGGATATAAAGCCATACACTTGCATTTAAAAAAAAAAAAAGAATGTTTAAAAAAAAAAAAAAAAAAAAAAACAAACTTAGATTTAAAAAAAAAAAAAAAAAACAAACAAACAAACAAAAGAATAAGGGTCAAATAGGCCATCAAACGGCACATGATAATGCAATTAGGCTACTGAACTTAAAAAACTAACAATTGGGTCCCTAAACTAACTAATTTCAAACAATTCTTCCAATTTGAAGATTTCCAATAGGTCAACAGGTCGTCTTCCCAAATTAATTATTTTTTAAAAAATAAATTTTAAAAAATAATTATTTAAATTTTAAAAAATAATAAAAAATAATTATTTAAATTAAAAATTATAAAAAAGTTGTTAAAGAAAATAATTAAGTAAAAATAAAATAAAATTTAATTGAAGAACGAATATTATATATAGCAAATAAAATGAACAGAAAAAATATTTAATTCAGATATAACAAGGGGAATTGATGCTTTTAGTCTTTTAGTTGAAGTTATAATGTATATTTAGTCACTCAATTATTCACAATATATATTTAGTTCCTAAGTTCTTAGTAGTGAATAATTTAATTTAGTGACGTTTGATTCATGGAATATATTGGCATAAAATATCATTTTGTGAAATAGATAGATTTGTTCCGCTATTTAGTTTGAAGTTTTGCAAGAAGGAATAGAATTTTACGTAATGTGCTACTCCCTTTGCAATGGGAATAGTCATTTCCAAGGCTCCTTGGTATTAGCTATTTATAGCTCATTCGGAATAACTAATTTTTATTATTTCAAAAATGCCCTTAAAATTCTTCATATATATATTTTTTACGGTCTTTTGCATGTCGGCTCACCAAGTCCATGGACTAGGGTTCATGCAACTATAGCCCGCCCCATGCAGATCGACGGGCCCCGTGGCCCGGTCCGTGATTTTTTTTATTTATTTTTAATTCAAAATTTTTAAAAATAAGTAAAGTCTATAAATAATATTCATTTTTTTGTATTTCAAAATTAAAAAAAAATTACATTTTTTAATTAAAACTGTGTAGTTTATATATATATATATATATATATATATATATATATATATATATATCAAAAGAGTGCTATTCATAGAAAGATTTTATCAAAAGTATCAAATAATTAAAATTTTGAAGTATTCAATTCTTTTCATTTTCGTGCTCATTTTCTAGAAAATGAACCAAACAAACAAAGACAGTTTTTCGTTATGTAGACAAACACCGGAAAGGAAAATGTTTTCTGGAAAATGACTCATTTTCCAGAAAACATTTTCCATAAGTCATTTTTCGGATTTTCAAACGCACCCTAATATTAAAGTCTTAATAGAACTCTAACCACAAATCCTACTACTGTCCTCAAACAATATTAGTATATATTTAATATTTTATGATTAATCCTACTGCCGAAATCTCATCAAACAATATTAGTATATATTTAATATTTTATGATTTAATTTTTATTTGATCTCCCTTATGTCCCGTATTTGGTTTCAACCATACCCATACAATTATTTTATTCAGAATTATAATCAATCTTGACTATATTATCTTGCATTTGTAAACTTAGAATTACCAATTTAAATACACAAATTTAACATTCAATTATCTATGCATGAACAATTCTAATATAATCTTGCCTTGATCTATTTTAAAATACTTATTTAAAAAAAACATTGGGTATTATTCCAATCGCGCAATGCGCGTAAAAAACTAGTTCATTGAATAAGATTCTTATGAATTGAAAACATTTGTTTATTAGGTAAAATCACTATTACTTAAATCTTCAGATTTGTTTGTTAGGGACCACAACATTTTTGTTTTGTTCGATTAAAGTTTAAAACATAAAACAATTTTTTATTTGACAAAAACTTGTGTGAGGCTGTCTCATAACTCCTTATTCGTAAGATTGCTCAAGTTGTAATGCTTATACTGGAAAATATAATACTAATCAGAAATAAAGTGTTTGTTACTTATAATAGAAAATATAATATCTTTGAAGAAAAATATACTCTAATATTTTTATATTTTGATTTAAAAGTATTACATTTTTCCTTAAAAATATTACACTTTTTTTAAGTAACAAACACTTTATTTTTAATTAGTATAATTTTTAATTTTAATATTATATTTTCATATTGACTCGACCTATCTCACGAATAAGGATTTGTGAAACCGCGTTAGGGGAAAAATAAGTCTTTTGGTTTTAGGTTTAATGTAATGTAATGAGTAGTAAAAATGATGAGAATAAATAAAATTGGTGAGAGACGAAATTATTGTAGGGTATGTCAGGGTAATGGAGACAATTAGTTAGTTACTTAATGTAAACCAAAACGACAAGTGTTGAAAGGTTATGATTGGTCACACATGGAACACGACGAGATCAGATACATTCAGAAAGTGCGAATATGCATTATCTATTATTATTCTATTGAATTTTTTTAAATATTTGATTGTTAAGTAGATTTGATTGCTTTAAATATTATTTTTCTTTCTTATAACACTCATGATAATCAATATTGTAAAAATTGCGCCTAGGCGTTAGGCGGCGGCCGATAGTTTAGAAATTCGGCGGAATCACTATTCTAGGCAGTAGGTAGTAGGCGGCCTAGGCGCCGAGTAGGTCGATGTGGACTAGGCGGCCTACGTTAGCGGGATTTAACTAATTTTTTTAAAAAATTAAAATTAAAATTAAAATCGTCGCCTAGCGATTTTTTTAACCTTGATGATAATTTATAAAATAGTATTTATTCTATACTTCCTCAATCTCTTTTACTAGAGTTCGTTTTGCGGCCACTCATTTGGATGGTAACATATATGTAATTACACTACGTAGTAGTTGTCAATATTATTTTCTCTTATTTGGCTAATGGAATTTATTTATAAAATTCCTCACATTTCAGGAAAAAAAAAAATTTTGCTCAACATTGATATTTTGTTTTTCATGAAAAAAGTGTTTTGCGCCTTTGGTGGGACAATTTTGTCTTCATAGTACTTTCTTAATATCCATTATTATTATTGATGGTTTTATTGGAACCGGGTCCATCATAAACCAAGTATAGAGGTACAGAACAAGGTTGAAAAATAGTAGTATTACTACCTAGGATGTTAGGCCCAAAATGTATGCTTACAAAATCCGAGACATTGGCCCAAAACGGTATAATAAAATAGAATTTCAACAATGATTTCATTATATTGTTGAAATTCTATTTTATTCTCTTTATTTTTATTTTTTGAACCAAATGTCCCGAAAGGTACAAGAAGCAAAAACCTTACATTAAAAACATTTTAGTTTAATCCGAAAAGAAAATAATATTATTAATTACTATATTTATATGAATTAAGAAAGCTGAGCTTCGTGCTAATTAACATCATTAATTAAGCTTTCAAAAAAACATCATTCATTAATAGAAGGGAGCTGAGGAGATGAGAGGAAGAGTTTTACCATTTTCGTCCTGAAAGCTGGAGGGAGAGATCAAGAGGAATAGAGGATTGCATATGGAAGTTGGGCGTTTCGTCATTATTAGGCTTCGGGAGGATATTATTATTATTAGTATTATTTTTCTTCTTCTTGTAGGGGATTCCTCGGGCCTTAGACTGAGCGTCTCTGACTTCACGGAGGTAGAGGCGGATGGCGTTGTCGGCGAAGGGGTTTCTCTCCGGCAAGCCGCCGTTCTCCTCGAAGGCTGCGCGTAAGCGTCCGATGAGCGCGTTCAGGCTGCCCCACGCTTGGCGAAGGGGACAAGTGCAGAGCCCCGCCGGCTTCGGCTCCCCGAAGTACACGCAGCCTTGTAAGTGAACCTTAGTCTTCCCGAACTCAGGGCCGAGTTTTAAATTTTTGTGGCCCTGTTTGAGTAAATAAATAAGGCCCTACCAAAATTAAAATGTTTAAAACAAATACCGTAATTTTATTATCAAAATATATAACACAAAAAATTTATCCGTGCATCGCACGCACGCACATCGCACGGATAATGGGCAATTATTTGCTCGAATTCAAGCAAGGATAACATAAAAAACATATTCGATACAACTCATTTCATCAATTGCACTATATAATATTCGTTGTTATAATTTAATGATTATAACAAATCTTTTTCGTGCAACGCACAAGTAAAAATAGACATATTATGGAATAATAATAATAGTGTGCACAAGTTTTGAACCTTAAACCTCAAAGTTAAAATACAATAAATACATGTTCTTACCATTTTTTTATAAAGCCTTTTAGGTTTAATTAAAAACGTTTACTTTTTATTACTATACTAACTAGGTAAAAATAAAATATTGAGCTTCTAAAATTTGGGGCCCCTCTAAAATTTGGGGCCCTGTGCTATAGCCCGGCTTGTACAGCCCAAAATTCGGGCCTGCCCGAACTGGTCGAGACACCAGAGAAAATCGAGGACATGATTGTAATTGCAGAGGGGAAGTGGGACCGGCAGCTGCTGGTTCTTCAAGTACAGCCCAAACGTGTTCCAGTCGCGGCGTTTCTGCGCCTCGTAGCGGCTGAGCTGAATCGGCGGATGAGGCGGCGCCACCGCCGGTCTCCAAGACGACGACCCCTCCCCTAAAACCCTAATTTTATGGACCAAATCCATCACTTCAATTAAAAAAAATAAGATTAGAAATATACAAAAATAATAGAAAAATTAAATTTATACACGGTCAAAATAGAAGGGTTAAAAATGTCAATTTCCTTAATTTTTTTACCAAATATTTTATGCGGTATATGATGATAAGTATCACAATTGCTTCATATTCATTGAATAATATGTTTATGAATTGAAAACATGTGTTCGGGTTCAGCCTTTTGGAATAATGAATTGAAAACATGTGTTTATCAGGTAAAAACAAAATTACTTAAATATTCAGATTTGTTTGTTATAATGTGCAACAGAAGTAGAGATTTAATTTATTGGGTCGAATTTATTTTCAGAAGATAGTTTAGGGACCACAACATTTATTTATTATTTTTTTTTTTGGCAAAAACTTGTGTTATTCGTGAGATCGTAGGTTGTAATACTTATACGAAAAAATATAATATTAATTAGAAATAAAATGTTTGTTACTTATAATAGAACTAGTCTTTTCTATGCGCGATGCGCAAAAATATATGCCCAATATTTATATTT